CATAAATCAGCTCATTGGACTGTGGACTGAGGCTTCTTGTGCAAGCAAAAATAAATGGCACAAGAGGGGAGATGCCATCACGAAGGAATATCCCTGTCAAAAGATTGGGTCTCCTTTTTAGGTCCCACGTAACAAAGAAGAAACCAAGTGGAAAAAAACGAACATACATCTCCAGGTTTGTCTAAAGACCGTGCAAACACCATAGACTGTCTTAGTAAAGCAAGCAGTAAAATGGATGTTGTTCCAGCAGCCTCTTAGAAGAATATGAACTGTTGAATCAGTGCATAGGCTTGCCTAATACGTGAATTATTAATGTGTAGTTTGCATGGTTTTGAAGGGTTTGTCTACTCAATGGAGTTTGTTCTTTTTCCTACAAATTGAAGAAAATGTTTTGTTACTTAAACCTATCCAACTACTGCCATATGTAGGTAGATGTTTTTCAGGTCCTTTGCAAAGATTGAGAGCTTGCCAAGCAAACCTTTTTCCTTCCTGATTTCTGTTAATATATTAGCACAATAGGGAAGAAAAAAAAAGCAAAACCAGGTGGAAAAATATCACACCCTTTTTTGGTGTTGTGTGTGGCAGTAGGAAGCTGTCACTGGAAAATTGCAGTTTTCTTGTGTAATGTGAGAGAGTTTCACTTCAGCCGGACTAACCAGCAGTGTGCTGCACCGTTCAGGAAGACCATTTCTGCTGTGGCCGTCGTAACGGAGCAAGCCAGGTATCAACAGCATCAGGCACACGGCATACTGGCAGTCCCTGTATGCGACACCCGTTAACACTGGTGGGGGTTTTATGGATGGGTTGAGAGCAGTACACTGCCATTAGTGTTTAATTTTTTACAGGTGAATGTGCACCATCTCTGAGTGTAGTTATATGCAAGAAAGATGGGTGAAGATAACCATTCACTACTATCAAGGTCCAGGAGTGGCTTGACATGCAGCACGTCCCCCCCCTCGCTAGTGCTTGGTTTTACAGTAACTAGGCTGGCAAACACGCTGTACGTGACTCTTGTCCGAATAGCGTGCTGTAAGTGTTGGAGTGACTTCATACCTGGAAACAAATATGTTGGTTTTTGAAGGGATGATGTGGCTGACTTGATGTGTGTGCTGGACGGGGGGAGTACAGTGATACCGTACTGACACTTGGCAGTGTCAGGTTAATGATTGGACTTGATGATCTTAAGGGTATTTTCCAACCGAAACGATTCTGTGATTCCATGACACCGTGCCAGGTCTCTGCAACAGAAGGAAAGACAGTTTTTCCTCCATGCTGGGCAAACCTGGCTGTGTTGGGCTCTGGTTCTCCTGTGTGGTGGGTCAGGATGGGGCTCTCCAAACCTGGCATTTCACGTGGACCTCTCTAGTTTTTGGGTGGGTGTGTTTTGAGGGGTTTGGGTTTTTTTTTTTTGAGCAAGTGACAACAGTAGCTGTATTATTTCAGTACAAGCTTGGTGAATGTCAATTAATTTCTTTTAAACACCTCCTGTATAGCAGGTGTCTCTTCAAAGAATTCTTTGCATTTCTCTCTCCTTTGGCCATCTAACCTCCTTCTGTGAGGCTGGCTGGAGGAGAAGCCGCCTGAGCAGATGGTGCAGAGCTCTGCCTTTGCACGGCAGCCTTGCCTTCAACCTTGCTCGAGCCTTGTGAGCATCTTCCCATCCTTAACGCGCTTTTCCTTGAGCACCTGCTTCTTTTGGAAGTTAGTTATTTAAAAGAGAAATTAAAGTGACCACCTGAGGGTGCAGAGAGGAGGGGAACTGGCTGAAGGGCTGAGGTTAGCGCTTTCCCCTCGGTCTGGTTGTCTTCTCACCTTTAAGTTATTTGTATGCATGGTTGGCTTCCCGCGCGGGTTGGCACTGAGCGAGTTGGGATAATGTCACGGTTGCCCACGAAGCCGTGCCAGCATGAGAGCACAACCTTGCCAGCACAAGGGCATTGATTAGTGCAGAGGAACTAGGGCAATCCAATTATAGCCACAAATGCCATTGGCTTTCTCAAATTCTTACTCAAATGACTGCGGACTCTCTCCTCTATTAAGGTGGTCTGGGCTATATTGAGAAAGGGGAATTCGCAGGACTTGGGTAGTGCAGAGTAAACAAGATTTAATTCTTAAATGCTCTGTTGCCTATTTACACGTAGGGCAAAAGGATAGTATTTTTCAGATGGGTAGAAGCTGGCTGACCCCCTTTGCCTGCCTTGGTGTGTTAAAGAATGTATTTTATATTTATTTTTTTGGAAATTATTACAAAATATCCTAAAAGGAAACTACACAGGAAAAATAGCGAAGGAGTTTCCTATCATTTCAATCTTGTATGAGTATTGAATATTCCTTTGTTCCCTAATATTATGCTTCCTCTAACCTACTCAGTGGGTCAGATAAGGAAACATGATATTTTTCACCACCATGACGAAATTAAACTAAAGCTACAAAGAGCGTGAGGGTTGTAGCCTGGAGTCTTAGATGAGTGGCTCAGATCTGGCTTTATATTAAATGCAGAAGTGAACAGTCTCTCATGGATGAATCACATTCAATTAGCTACTTCCTACGATGAACTGATTAAAAATTAAGTGGCATCAAATAAGACTGATTTTGCTCATACGTTTAAATAATGCTATAATTACATACTAATCAGACGGCAAATCTTAATTGTACACGTTCCATATGTTTTATTTGCCTGTTCTCCCTCTTCCCTTTGTCGTCTTTGTATCGGCATGGAGTATATTTTCAGGCTGCTTTTATGTTTGGCCTAATTGAATATCAAAAGCAGTATATGTGAAACTTCCTGAATTCTATTCTTTAGCCGGTGGCAGCTGTGCTATTTGATGACCTTTACCATTCCCGTAGCACAGAATAATAAAGGGAGGGGGGGAATTGAAGCCCAGCCATGTTATTGTTAGAGACAGAAATAAATCATATATAATTGCTTCGCTATGAAGGCCAAATCCTGCCGTCCTTCATGCCTGAGTTAGAAATACAGGATTTGGACCTTTTGTTTCCTGCGGTTTCCTGGCCACCTTGGACGTGCCCAGAATCCTCACGCTGCCGCTGCGGTGGCTAATTACCATCGCCAGGCTCACGTCGCGATAAACTGAACTGCAGCCCCGGCTCCATCCCGCCGGTGCAGGCCAGGGGACAGCTCTGCCGCAGGAAACATTTACGTGATTGTCCACCTTTAAGTGCAACTGGCTTCTGTAAAATTACTTTAAAAATTAGAAAAAGCCTTAGATGTTGGATTACATGGTGGGCTTCCGCAGAACGCTTCTGTTTTGGTTAGCTGTTTGGAACGAGCCTGCTAACTCTTCATTGAAGTAAAGAGATATTTTGACATAACATGCATGTGGTATTAACTTTATTCACTCCAGAATGAACTTTATGCTTTTGTCTGCTTTTTAATCATAGATCATGAACACAGTCACAAAAAGAACAAGCGGAAACACTGGAGAAGACACTGGGCAGAAAGCAGCATATTGTCTGACATGGAGATGTTGAAACACAGCCTGGAAGTGAATTCACTTTCTGCAGATAGCAACAAGACTGGGAACCTCAGTGAAAAGAAGAGCCACAGACGAACAAAGCGGTTTCTCTCCTACCCTCGGTTTGTGGAAGTGATGGTGGTGGCTGACAGCAGGATGGTCGCCTACCATGGTGCTAATCTACAGCACTATGTCTTAACGTTAATGTCAATAGTGAGTATTCAACTAGGGGGAGTAGGTTCACCCACGGATCATTTTCTAGTGGTCACAGAGTCTCCTTCCTGCTGCGGTCTTCTGTGATACCGTCAGGTTTCCTCAACTAGGCATGGAGATAATTCTGGGATTAGAGTAAAGCTTGGTAAAACTTGGCCGGCGAACACCGATTGTGGTCGTCTTCCTTCCCATATCCACCATGTTTCCTAACCCTTCCCACACCTCTCACTTCCAGCTTTCTGACCCCCAGGCAGCACGATAAGCATCACTGGCCCTTTAGTCCACAGGCTGTACCCTTCTTGTTGTTTAAGCCCATCTGGAGCTGAATTAAAAAAGTATTTTGGGAACTGTGCCTTCCAAGGGACTGATGCTAGTAGGTTATGCAGTTGCCTGACTTCCCTTGCTGTTGGAAGTAGAAGCAGCCTCTGGTCACGGTGGTCCTTAGCGTAGAGCTAGGGTTGGCCTTCCAGGCTGAGGACAAGCATTTAGTAGCTGCTGGTGCCAGGACGCAGTAGTGCTGTCCCCAGGCAGGCAGCTGTGTAGATGCGTAGTGCCTGGAAGCGAGGATCCAGCGCAGTTGTGTCACTGGAGGGATTTTTGTCCCATTAGAGGGTAGAAGTGCAGTGAGTATGTGGTCTAAGACTGTCCATGTCAAAATGAGGCACTGGAGAGAAGTTGCTTTTTGGCAGCCTTGGTTGGCGGTCAGAGCAGACTGATCCTGTAATATGGTGAAATGTGTGTTAAAACAGAAAGAAATGTTGGGTTTCTGCCATACCAGCAGGTTTGTTTCATTCCAGAATTGTGTGTCTGGTAGGACGTCTCTCCAAGTAGCATCAGAGTACAGAGTGGGGCAGAAGAGCAGCTCAGGAGAAAAACAGATGTAAAATGGAAAACGTGTGTGTTGTTGTAATTGTTTGTTTCCCTGAATGTTAGCAATAATCTGAATATTTCTTGTTTAAACAGGTGGCTTCTATCTACAAAGACCCAAGCATTGGAAATTTAATTAACATTGTTATTGTGAAATTGGTCGTGATACATAATGAACAGGTAATGAAAGTGGCTTTCTTCTCCTTCTGTTTGACGGTGGCATTTGTAGTAAGCCTTGTGAAGAATAATTAAAATACCTACTTTATGTGTGTTGCTTATTAGGATGGTCCTGCAATATCTTACAATGCCCAGACAACATTAAAAAACTTTTGCCAATGGCAGCAATCCCAGAACCACCCCGAAGGAAGTCACCTTCAACACGATACAGCCGTGCTTGTTACCAGGTATGGTGAATATTCTCATGAGAATTGTAGCCAGTCATGTGTCAGAGGCTGTGGGCTTGTAATATATGCAGCTATGGGAAATGTTTGGGTTTTGATGTGAGTGTAACGACATTTGCAATTGTGGAAGCAGCATAACTGTGAGCAGAATTGGAATAATGTGTCCACTGTAGTGGTAGATCGCTCTGAAGAGGTTCAGGACTGTCTAAGGTCTGCCCATGGGTTCAATATAAGATGAAAAACTGTGACTTACAGTAGGGATTTGGTTCAGACTGTGGCTGGACTATGTGGCAAACCAGCATGAGAAGGTCCATTGGAGGACCAAGAATTGCTTTTGGATGTGTACCAGATGCTTGTACCTTCACTCACTCTGCATTCAACATTAATGTGTCAGGTCTGTTCTGCTTTCAGACAGGATATTTGTAGAGCGCACGACAAATGTGATACTCTGGGTAAGGAAAAACCTTTTCTTTGTCTTTTAATAACGTTTTTTTTGTAGTGATAATGTTAGTTGCCTGTGCTGAACCATGGGCAACATTTCTTTTTGTATCGTAAACCTCTTTGTTCTCTCCTAGGTCTGGCAGAGCTGGGCACAGTCTGTGACCCATACAGGAGCTGCTCAATTAGTGAAGATAACGGACTGAGCACTGCTTTCACAATAGCACATGAACTTGGCCATGTGTATGTTTTATGTAAATACATTTACATTTAAATAGCCCGAGATTTATGCTAGCTAGGGCTTGCCAGCCAGCCTACCTGCTGAGCCTAATTATCTGAGAGGAGATAAATATACTTGGGTAGAAGATGCACCACCAAGGAAAATTAGGCTGTGGTGTGATTCTGTGAGGCTGTGGGGCGCTCCAGAGTCCGAGAGCAGTAAAAACAGCAGACCCACGTTCTGGGGACAGTGAGTGACAGAGTACCCCAAGCAGCACCTGAGCCGGGGAGGAGAGCTAACAAAATGTCCCTTATTACTCCATCTTCTCACATCTACATGAGGATGTCGGCAGGATCTGCCCCAGCAGCTCCAATGTCTTGGCCAAGCCATAGGGACTGTCCACGGCTGGGAGGTGCTGTGAGCCTCAGGGAGGACAGGGTGAGGGGCACGGGCACATCTCACCTGGGCTTTGGGACTGAAGTCTCCTCCACGAGCAGGTCCTCAGCCTGCCACAGCTCATCCCACCGCCATGCGTGGGGAAGAAAGGAACATACCCAGGGTGTCTGGCAGGTGATTGGGATGTGTAAGTGAGCCTGACCCACCTCCTGAACCATTTCACAAAGGAAAATCTCGTGCTGCTGGATATGCCCACAAGAGATGCTGTCATTCAAGATGCACCTCCTCCAGTGAAAATTTCTTTTAACTGATTTTGACTTTTTTTGAGAGCGTTGGTGAGAAAAATCATCTTACATGACATAGTCCTTTACCTGTCAGCTATAACTCAGTCCCAAACCACCTCATGCCTGGTTTGCAGTGGAAGTCTGTAGGTGTGGGACGGATGAGTACTTGGGAACAGACCTCTCATTGTTTTAAACTCCCTTTTTCGGCACAGAATGCTGGCTGAGATGGTCTATTTTTAACCACAGTAGTATCTGTTGAAATAAGATTTCCTGAGAGAAAGTCCCTGAAGGTTTGGCGTTCCGCACACCTAACCTGTGGCTAATTCCTTCGCTAATGCTGCCCTGGAGCTGCTGGAGGGGTTAGCGGCGCTGCCGAGCGGGAAATGCCTCTTTGCGCTTTGACAGGGAGCCGAGTGAAAAGGTGGTTCATTGGAGGTAATCTGAACGGGATATAAACTCCCAGCCTTCGAACGCAGGATCGCACCGGGTCATTTCCCCTTCTCAGCTTCAGACGGCAGAGCACTTCAAGCCGTTCTGTCTCCGTTAGCGTATTTGCCGTGTTCTTCAAGATGTCATGTGCTGCAAGCTTCGCGTGGGTTTCTGCCGATACTGATGCTTGCTGGCATTTTGTAAACCTACCACATAAAAGTATAGGAGCCAAGTCTGTCCCCGGTGCAATGCTGTTTAGGCAACAACGTGAGGGATCAGCATGGCCCCAGGTGTTCAACGGCATTAGAAAACATTCTGCAGCCAACATAGGGTGCTGCCTATGGACGCAAGAGACTTCAGGCAGCGGTGGTCAGTGGGCTCAAGTCATTCCTCTCCTTAAGAAACTTAATCCCCCAGATCAACTCTTGGCTCTTTGGCTCAATTCTGGAGTACTTGCCATTTTTATGAAGGTGGAACTGGGCTCCAGCCTGCCTGCAGGATAGCAACCATCAGCTGAAAGGAAACTGTGGCTGAAATTGCATCTTACTCCCGGCCCCCTCAAGGACTTGTCTGGCTAAATATATGAAGTCACAGTGTGGAGAGCTTACTAGGGTGCTGTATAGGTTTTTGCAGACAAGTGCTAGGAACCCAGTTTGAGCAACTGTTGACACTTACAAATATGTGCATATTAATTTGTTCTGTAATATCTGTCAGTAGCCTATCTAGGAAAAATTCTTGGACTTGCTTACATTTAGTTGACACTGTTGCTCTTGCTATCCTAAACACTTGATATTAGTTGACTGTACTTTCCACTGCTGTGTTTCTCTTAGGTTTAACATGCCACACGATGATAATCACAAGTGCAAAGAAGAAGGAGGTAAAAATCAACAGCATGTCATGGCGCCAACACTGAACTTCTACACCAATCCCTGGATGTGGTCAAAATGCAGTAGGAAATACATCACTGAATTTCTGGAGTAAGGCCTTACAAATGCACGCGTTAGGCTGTTTTTACATGTGCATGAGTTCTGTGGGGTTCATCGGTTAATCTGAAGTCCTAGTGTGCAGCGTCTGGAGGAAATCGGAGGGATTTGTGTGTGCACGCATCCTTTACGTAGAGCAGGAATTTTTTAGCCTCATGATAAGCTGGCAAGGACTGGCTTCTCTATGGGGAAGAATCAGTCTTTCCCCCATGGATATTGCTTTTAAGGAATGTGCTTTGTCCTCAAAGCTGAAGAGTGAGTTTTCCAAGCCCCGTGACCCAGATACGGAGCCACGTTTTAGGAGGCAGATTCAATCTGCCTTTCTGCTCCACAGGTCAAGATAAAGCCCTGGCATTAGTCCATGGTGGGAACACTCTTCCAGGAGCCTGTGGGTCAGTTTGCACAGTGATCGCCCATGTTGCTGTGATGCCTTCCCGAGGGTTGTGACGGGGAGCAGAATGAAAGCCATGACGGTCTGCTGGCAAATCCAGCAGCTCCGTTCCCCGATTCTTCTGCTAATCAATGATTTTCTTTCGAAGTGTATACTAGTGCTTACTCAGCAACTAATTGCAGGTTGTGCGTGCTCAGAAATGCTTTTGCCAGGGTAGCTGGCTGCACGGTGGTGGGCGATCGTTAGCACAACATGGGGGTGGTGGTGAATGGGTAATGCCCCCTCCTGCACTTGAATCTGCAGTAGCTGCTGTAGTGCTCATTAAATATGGTAAATGTGGCGTGCATCTGCCCTAAGGCTGACTCACGTAAACACCATTGGGTTCTAGTTGTAATGCCTCCTGCTTAATGCCATTTCTCTGCTTTGTGTTGTAGCACTGGTTACGGGGAGTGTTTGCTTGATGAACCTTCATCGAGAACTTACACGTTGCCTCAGCAGCTCCCAGGGCTGATTTATGATGTCAACAAACAATGTGAGTTAATTTTTGGACCTGGATCTCAAGTGTGCCCATATATGGTAAGTGAAGTTTCACACCTTGGTTTTCCTGGTATTGCCAGAGCAAAATAAGGCCTCCTAGGGTTGGATGAATGGGAGGCTCACAAGCCATCAAATTATTGTCAGTCTTGTGAGTTAATGATAAATCCTAAGGGGATAATGTCATAAAGGATCATCTATCTGTATTTATTTAATAGTTTGATCTTTTTGATAACTTAAGCAGATGCAGTGTCGGCGACTGTGGTGTATCAACATTGATGGCGCACACAAGGGATGTCGTACCCAGCACACACCTTGGGCTGATGGGACAGAATGTGAGCCTGGAAAGGTCTGTAACACCTGGCGTTCATGCCTCATAGCTGTATTTCCTAGGGCTCAGGCTAAGCATGTCGGTCCAAATCATCCTATCCCAGTGGCTGGTTGTATGGGGCGTAGCTTCTGACTGCGAGGGTGGAAGCCTAAAGCAGCTCTGTGTGTTTTAAGACTGGTGTGCATGGGTCAACTCTACCCCAGATAATGTAATTAAAATCACAGAATCACAGAATGACAGAATGGTAGGGGTTGGAAGGGACCTCTGTGGGTCAGCTAGTCCAACCCCCTACTTGGCCTGCTTGGCATAACGTTGTTTGAAGCAGCTATTCCTTCTGGACTGCTTATCTTTTTAAATTAACGCTCTCGAGTGAACTCTTGAGCAAAATTTTTGCAAACCTTCTCTAGACTTTTATTAGAAATTTACTATGTGATGTGAGCAATTAGCAATTTTGTGTAACATAAACTTTCCAAGTGGCTTCTCATCTGAACAACTTCAGAGTAAAATATAAAACTGGTTAACATTTTCTGTATGGAACGTTTTGGCAGTAATTCATAGAAACTTTCAGTTTCCATCTGCGATGTTAATTTCCAGCTAGCATTGTGGTTTCTAGAATGAGTATTTAGTTTTTAGTTGTCCAGATCTGGAGAAAAATAGTTGAGAGGATTTTTATTTTATTGAGATACTGAAGCTTTTGAAGAAAAACGCTAACTAATTTTCCTCATTTTTGACTGAACAAAAAATACTCTCCATCTAGATCTAGTAAAAAAAAAAAAAAAAAGCGCGATGTTATTCTACTGGCTTAAAAATTTGCTTTTCTGGCTGTTTACACCTCTTCGGAGTTACCATGTCATCTAAGTGTCCAGCTGCATGGCTCTTAATAAAGACCATGCAAGCAAAAACATTTCAGTCCACAAATTTCGACAGTTTGACAAGTTTAGGCAAATCAGACAAGTGTGACCTGAGCTTCTTGGCTGAGAGCAGATGGGCTTTTAAGAAAAGCCGTTGCAGTCCACTCGTGTTCAGGCAAATGTATTCTCACAAAAAGGTTTTACAGAGTAATTCTTGTATCTGTGCGTTGGTCTAATTCAAGCTTAAGGTTTGGATCGTCATAAACTCTCTTCTCCTCAGTGTTTACTTGGGCTTGTGAAGTGCTGAGGTGCGAGTCTGGAGTGCTTTTCATTGGAATAAATCACTATTTTTGTACTCTGCTGTGGCCAGGAGCCCCATCAAGCTGCTGCTTGCTGACTAATGCCTTGCCTCAAGTCTGCGTGGTTAAAGGCAATGGTATATGGGTTGGCAGGTGGAGAAAATACCATGCCATTTTTTATGGAGATATATTTGGAAATGAGGGAGCCTGAATAGCTAAGAAAAATCTAGCTAAAAATACTGGGATGTAGATTTAACCGGGCTCTAAATTTATTCTTAAATCAAGGACACTAAAACAACATGGGAGTGTTAGCTTATGCATACTTTGCACGTGAGGACACTGAATTTGATATTGCTAAATCAAGTAATAAGCCTAGCCCGGAGTTTAGCCTTTGCTGGGTGAGCCCCAGTCATGACGGTTTACAGGGTTTCACAGCACCGGTGCATTGTTGGGTGGAAATAAATCACTGAAAGAAAATAAAGAGGGTCATAAACTTGGGCTTCTGTCTCTTGAGGTTTTCAGGGTTGTTTAAAGAATAATAAAAGAAGAGTAGACGAATAGTAATCATTTCTGTCTCCTGCCGTATGGCAGCAGGTAGTGTATATGTTATGCATGCATGAAGCTTCACAGCACTTGTCTGCCCCCTGCTAATCTATTCAGCTGAAGTCAGCCCAAGGATGGGAGCTGGATTTGGTGAATTATCTGGGACTCCAGTGGCAAGACAAAGGAAGGGAAAGTCTGTTGTAGTGTCTCCCGTCCCTGCCGTTGCTCTCCTGCTCAACTGTGTGTCTAAGTTATTTTGAAGTTGCTCCAGACAAAAACTCTTTTATTCTCTTCGTTCTCTGATCTGTAAGCTCATAGGAAAGAGAACCTTGGCAGGCTTTTCAGTTTTTCTGTTGTAACTCAACATAGAAATTATTTTTAAAATACAAAAGGCACGAAGGTTGCACAGCCAGACTATTCACAGTGTGGTTCCAAGAAATGCCATTGCATTTCCATAAGATAATCTTGCTGTTTATTTAAAACAGCTGCTCTTTTTTCCCCCCTCTTTGATTTACCATCAACTCCAAACCCCCAATTTTTAATAAAATCAAGGGATGTAGGCGATTTCCTGGTTAATTCTCAACCATCGGGTGGGAGACGTATAGGTCATGTCACGGTCTGTTAGCCGTGTACATTCGCTGGTTAGCTATTCAGTCGTCTGCTCTGGGTCAGCGGTGCCAAGCAGGACTGTGGTTATATATTTAGCTGTGAGCATCGACACTGCTGCGAGTTCTCCACCGGGACAGCGCTGCTGGATTGGCGTCGCGTGGTTTTGTACTTTGATGATAGCTGTTGGACCTCTCTGTCCCTGTGCAGGACGGGCACAGGGGTCCCCATCTTGCAGTTTTTAACCCTCAGAATGCCAGGAGGAGTTGTGCATCGTGAGGGTTTTTCCTGCAGCAAAGAAACGGGCATTTCGTCTTATTTTATTCCTGTCCTTTACTGTAGCAGATACTTTTCAGCCAGTTTCTATCTGGGGAATCAAATCTTCAGACGAAAGCAAATCCAGGGCGCCTTGCAGCCCAGAGACCATGCTGATCTCTGAGCACACACCACATTTAGGGCCCAAGCTGCGAGTTGTTCAGCCATCCTGCAAACCATGCCCATCAGCAGACGCACCTGAGATCAGCTTTCTTCGTCAGCAAAGCGTTGCGGCAAGCCGGCCGTCATGGGCAAAGGTGTTAAACGTGCTGCAGAGCCAGCGTCCGATGGGCTGGAGGCACAACCCCCATGACAGCCGGAGTTTGCTCGGTTTTTCCTGGAGAGCTTTCTCTAAGGTGATTCGTGAGGATATCTGAAAAGGGGGGGGAGCTTGTGGTGTGTCTTGATACAGCCTTGTTCTGTTGTTAGAGAAAGGGCTGGAAAAACGTGGCGTATCAGCCAATTCATCCCTGTTGCCATAAAGATCATCAGGTGTTTCCCTGCCTGAACAGCATCTGGCGCAGAGAAATATTGGAAGGTAATGTTTTAATGATGCACTGCATGTTTTCTTCTTTAAGTCTGTACCCTCTTCTAATCTGTGAGCAATCAGCAATGTTTGGGCTTCCTGTAATTGCCAAGGTTTAGGCATCCGCCAGCAGATGAGCACATCTCTGGGTTGAAATCTGCTTTAGCAAGCTGTGTTCAGTGAGATGGAAGCCCCGCTCTCTCAGGTCTTGGGGGCACTTTTCCATCCACTCCAGTGGGGCCAGAAGGAGACTCTCCCCTAGATCTTGCCTCTCCAGAAGCCTGTGTGGTTGAACTAGCGTACCCCAAAGGGACACGATTTACACCATAAAAACGGGGGACGGGGGCTTGCCAGGATAATTTAAACCAGTTTTCCAAACAAAAGAAAACAAGAGTTATAGCTAGAAAACAAAACCATAGGCCAGGCCTTGGCAAGCCCCATGTTATGGCTGAGTGAAAAAAAAAAAAAGAGCTTTGGATTGAGGACTTCATTTTTCTATTTTATTTGTCCTTTGGATCTGGAAGTGTCCTTTCCCTCTGCTGTTCTGGGGCTTTGTACAGCTGTGGGGAGGTTTGAGTTTTCCCTGGTATTTTCCCTACCGTCTGCCTCCTCCCCAGGCACGGTGTGGTTCCTGCTGCTCTCCAGGAAATCCGATAAGCAGCTTTTAGAAAAGCCAGCGCCGCGAGCGTTGTGTTCTGTGCTGTTCGGCACCACCAAACAGGGAATACTCGGTGGTTGCTGTTCTCCTCAGCCATCTTCCCATAAATCACTCCCGTGGACTCTGCAGCTTGCCTTCGCTGCTTCATTTGACGGTGCAGAGAGAAAAAAATACGGGGGTGGCAGGCAAAAAGTAAATTTTATTTGCTTGCAAAAATCTTTGCTGCATTTTATGAGTGGTTGAGAAATAAGCAAGCGTGAGTCTTGCCAGCTAGGCTGGTCCCTGACAGTCGGCTCGTAATGCGAAAGCGATGCAAACCCACCTTTCCCGTCTCTCCCCCTCGCGCGCAGCACTGCCGGTTTGGGATGTGCGTGCCCAAAGAGCGAGAGGCGCCGGTGACGGACGGCGCGTGGGGGACGTGGAGCCCTTTCGGGACCTGCTCGAGAACCTGCGGCGGCGGCATAAAGACGGCGATACGGGAGTGCAACCGGCCCGAGTAAGTGCACGGAGGGGAAGCACCGCTGGGTGAGATGGGGAAAAGCGGCGGGGTTGCCCAAATGGGCTGAAATCCCTTTGGGCTGTCCCCAGCCCGTGTGCACCCCGGGGACCGGTGGCTTTGCCGGGCATGGATGAGGCAGCACGGGAACCCAGGAGGAGCCGGTCACGGGTTTTGTTTGTGGGTCAGGTGCACTAAAAAGGGATCCACTTAATGGAGAGAGGAGAAAGCTGGTATCTGCATGGGTTTATTGCCTCTCGGGAGGCACAGCTGGAGTCCCCACTTCCAAAGGTGTTTTTCTTCCTCCAAAGCTGTGGGTGAGAAAGGTGGAAGCCATGTTTTTATCCCTTTTTCACCATTTTACACCTGCTTTGGCTACTTTGACAGCTATTCCTACAGGGTTAGAGCCTGTATGCAGTTTTCTACCATTTTTTTCCCGCTTTGGCTGTTTTGTGCAGCTTCTGGCTGCTTTTGCAACTGATCCTTTATACAGTTACATGTAGTCAGCTGGCACAGACTAGCCAAACCTCAGCAGAAGTCTGTGCCCCATTAAAAAGTGGCACTTAAAAATGTTTGCCGTCAGCTTGGAATGCAAAATCCTGCACCCTTTGAAATGGCAGGAAATTTTGCCGTGGGGTTCAAGCAGACAAATGTGTGGTCAGTGACATATTAGTAATAGGTTGAGCAACTGGTATGAAAACAGCCTGTTTACATAAATTGTGAACTGTGCTGGTTTCTGCTTAACTGCCGCCTCTCAGCCCGTGAGAGCAAGAAAGGGTGGGCAGAATGCTTTCCATTTGAGACACAGACATGGAGAGGAGAGAGGTCTGTGGAGCTGGTTGGACCAAGGGATCTTAAAAAGATTGAGCAGGCTCATTACACTTTCTCTTCATTGGTGTTGGATGGCTTATTGCCAAGGAAATTGCTGTAGTGATGAGCTAGTGACAGTTTCATCACTGCTAATGGGAGAAGGGAGAGCTTGTACCTGCGGCACTGGTGGTGGAGTGACAGGAGAGGCTGGCTCAGCGCGGCTGGGCGAGTGTTGAAAGAGAAGAGAAGGGTTAAGGCTAAGGGAGTCAGACACCAGCTCGTTAATTAAAGTGATGCTGAGAAACACAAAAGTGCACAGGAGTTCTTGTCTCGCTGTGCTGAGTCAGCACACACCATATGGTCTTCCAGTAGCCGTGGAGATGCAAAAATAAAACACCTTTCCACACACAAAAATAGCTATATTGCTGAACCTCTGGGTGCTGTCAGTGAGAAGTATTCCCGTCTTCTGGAGAGGCATCTGTTTGGACTGATAGCTTTTTGTGATAGAAAATCTCCTTTATCCTAAAGGCTAGCCAAGGGATTTTAAATTCTGTCTTCTCTTATAGCTTGTGTTTTGTATCTTGGTGTTTCACAAGATGTATTGCTTTGGCTGGGATTTGCAAAAAGCACCTAAATACACGAGGCACCAAGCTTCCTGTGAATTCCCCGGCGCGTATCAGTAATAGTGGTTATTTTCTAGGCCGCCTTTCGAGAGCCGTGTAGCTGGCACCGGCCTCTTCTCCAACCCCTTGCAAAGTCTCCGCAAGGAGTCGTCTATCCTGGCACTGTCCACAGAGCTTTACACTGACTCCGTTGCTTTGTCCTCACAATTTGACATCATAGCCTGGGCTCCCACCATCTGCGTCCCTGTTATCGTGGGGCTGCTGAGATGATGCAAGTGTTGAGACACTGCTGGGTACTCTCCTGCCTCTCCGGCTTTTCAAAGTACCTCAGAAATACACAGAATAGGTCTGGTCTCTGTTTCTTTTCTGTTGTAGAAGGCAGGAAAATCAACCCAGGTACCCTGAGGAAGGTCTGACATAATTTTCAGGAAGTCTTTTATATTTGAAGATGGTTTAGCTTGTTAAAGCTCTTTTCTGTGCACGAGGATCTGGGGCGGTGTCTTGCACGCCAGTAAACAGTGTGTTAAATCTGGCATTGAAAATGAACCCCCCTGCCATGGTACAGAAAATAAGGCTGTGGCTCCTGCCGCTGCAATGTGCTCTGACAGCTATGCGAACGAGTATTTTGCAGGGCTGCAGGAAGCTGTGAGCCTCTGAAGTGGCAGCAGCGTGTGTTTTGACATACACTGAAGGAATGTATTAGCTAACCAGACCAGACCCTTCCCACTGAGACTGCCCACTTGGGAATTCGAGGCTGGCTGGTACAGACAAAACCCATGGCTGCAGCACATCATGCAGAGCGTCTGTGGTGCAAGCCCTGGTTTTTGAAGCAAGACATAGCTGCAGAATTACGGGGAAAAGGCATCTTTCATCAGATGTCAATACCAGGAGCCCTGTTTTCAGGAATGGCTTTTTGGTTGAGGAGTGTTATCTCTGGATGCAAGTCTGATCACGTCTGCATTTTAGTCCTTCACAAAAGCATCCACCTGTGCTGAAAGCTGTCTGAGCTTGACACGTAAACACATCTATAGATAAATGTGCTGGCCACTGGCAGCACGTGTACCAATTCCCGGTCCCAGGGCTTCCCGGGATGCTGCGAAGGCGGTCTCGAACTGATCTGTGCACCCTAGGGCTTCACAGATTTTTCCTGCAGTCGCTGCAAGCGCGCAGGCACATAGGCCGGCGTGCAGATGAACACACGCGCCCGCCAGCTGGTCTCCGGGGTCCTTTCGTTGTGGCAGCCTGAGTGCCCCCCGACACAGGGGCATGGGGCTGAGGGTGTGCAGAGCACCCCCAAAACAGCTCTGCTCAGCGAGTCACCTGTACCTGGTACTCCCAGGCCACCGAGAGCTGGGCGCTGCCTGAAGGTCTGCAAGTGAAAACGCTCAGGGTTGGTAACCGCTGATGACGCGTCAAGAGTCGTATATTTAAGACCTGTTGGGGTGGGAGTGGGGATAAGACCCCGTTGTTCCCCAGGCCTGTCTGCTGTGTCCTGAGAGTTTCTGATGTGCTGGGAGGAACGCAGCGAAGCCGGGGTGTGCGCAGGAGCTTGTAAGGGGAATTAGGCTGGATTGAAAGCGGGTCCACACTGGCTGTTAGTTGATCAAATAGAAGATTCAGAGAGAAGGGAAATCGAGAGAGAACAAGGAGGTTTCTATGCATGCCTTGCATTCTCTTCTGTCTCTAAGGTACATCGTTGGTGATTATCCACAAAAACATTACGTAGTGTGAAGTATCCCCTATTTCTTAGTGACACTGAAAATCGGTGTTATATGGGGCTGACAGATTTTTCAGGGTCAGCTCTTTCTGTTTACTCAGACTTTGTGAAAAGCAATGCTGGTTTAAAAACACCCTAAAACTGTCAGGGTGTTTTGGGGCTGTTTTGAAATGTCAGAAGTCTGAGTGTGTTTCAGCCCTGAACACAGGCTGCAGGGGGATTTACTGCCATAGTTACGAAGCTGACAGTGTGCAACACAACGACAAGTTTTAGCATCCTGCAGTCTGCGGTGTGCCCATGTGTTCAACGTTATCTCAATCTCACAGGTCACATCTAGAGAAAAGGAAATTATACAGTAGCTTGGGATCTTTGGATTTTGTTAGACATACCCTTAAAAAGAAAGGCTTCTGCATGATGTTCTTAATATTTAAAAATCTTATTTTAATTAAATTGATTTATATTGGAAGCAATGTGGTTACCATAAAAATGTTGTAATGGCAAATTTTTAAAAGAAATGCCCTGTTAGAAGTTTGTGTGATTTAGGGCCTTTGTCAAACTGCAACAGTCCTGCTGCGGTATAAAAGCTTTCGAAGCGAAAACGATGAATCCTGTGAACTCCCCCATGAAGGATCCAGGCTCACCGAGGTCTGGAGTGTGCTGCTGCCACAGCTAAGAAGTTTCCCCATGTGCTGTGCTGTGAGATGGTCAAGATGTCCCTTTGTAGCTGGAGGTAGATGATGTGCCCACATGGGAATAGTCTGCGGGAAGGGCTCCAGTGGTGGGAAGCCAAGCATGCTCAGTTAAATTAATCCATGTTTTTTGTCAAACCAAGGTGGAGAACAGACTAAATTGTTAGAAACCGAGTTTAGACTTGCTCCCATAGCAACTGGTGTGAAATCCGTGTGTAAACTGAAATCTGCACCAGGTGCTGTGTGGTTGGTTGGGCTTTTTGTCACTGTTACTTGCTTAATTGGGAGCACCAGCAACCTTTGCAAGTGACACACATTTAGTTTCCCGACGGCATGCGAGAGTCACGCTTTGAGCGGGTGGAGCTGACGTTACCAGCTGTGGCTCCGGGCTGCACCTAAAGACAAATCCTACCCCTCGGCATTGAGGACAGGACTTGAGGGGTCTGCACACAGCAGTGTGGATCTCGGCGAGGAGAGGAAAGGAAGGATGCTGGCAGGAAAAATCTGATGTTTGTAGCTGGTCGTGCTCTGCGTCTCGCCTGCAGCTGCTGGAGGGAGCAGCTCCTTCTGCCAGACCTGTGAGCATCCCTGTGGGGTGGTGGGAAGTCTGCCTGCCCTTTCCTACTTTGCAGGTAGTCTTTAGGCAAGTGCAAGCCCCTCTGTGTGCCTCGGTTTCCCTATTTATTTCACGCGAACTCTGCTACTTGAGTCACAAATAGTTTTCAAACATTAGAGTGGAGAATTGTCATATGTGGGAGAACGAGCACTGCTGGGCTTCATAGGTGGTCGATGTACCTGTACTTCAAGAGACGCTAAAAAACTGTGTCCAGCTATAGGAGCTTGTTGACTTGCTGTGTGTAAAGGCCCTTGTACCTGTGCAGGGGGTTTCTGTCTCTGCTACGCTGGGAAATGCCGGCCGCGTGCAATGTGGAGACCTTATGATGGGCTAAGCGCAGGGGCGTACCTTCTGAGCGTTCCTGTTTATCACTCACCGGTTAGCGTTTCGGAGGGTCTGTGTGTGCAGACTGGCTTCCTTCCTGAAGAGGCTTAACGGGAAGATGCGCTCTGATCCCTGCGGTACCGATGGGCGTCTGGATCTGGGGCGAGGCAGAGTTGATCCTGAAGAAAAGCCCTGCAAGGCAGGAGGTGTAGGTGCCAGAACTTGAGCACCCAGCACGTCGCTTTTCTGATCTGAGCTTCTTGCTTGTTTTGTTCAGGGGTTGGACAGAAGATGTAGGCTTAGTGGTTATTTTGCAGCAGAGGCTGGAGCTGGGCGCAGATGTCGTCTTGAGTTTCGAGGGCCAGTCTCTGCCTCCGTACACGATCCCGGCACAGAGCGGTCAGGACACGGTGGCTCTGGCCACTCAGGATGCTCTTGCCCTCGGCCGACTCCTCTGAAGTGGTCTGTTAAAGGGAAGAGCCAGGGCTAACCTCAGCCGGTGGGGACTTTCCCATGCTGATGGCTGGGATGCATGTTAACTTCATCTCCCCTCAGTGCAGGTCCTACTTGGTGCCGTTTTTCTTTTTTGGATAATTACAGCTTTGCCCAAGTTGACCCTGGCAACATTTCATCTAGACTGCAATATCTTTCCTTCTGTAACATTAGAGAAAAGCAAAGCTGCTTGGGTGGTACTGCAACTTTTGTTATACATATTAATAGTGGTAGCTTGTAGAAGCCTCCAGCGTGCCCTCCTGATTGCATTTGAAGTTTCAGGAGAGAGCAGCAGAGATGGTGGGGTTTTTTTGGAACATTCAAAGCATGGTGCATCATTTTTTATTTTATTATTATAATTCATTATATACATAGAAGGCTGTACATAAATAGGCATGAAATCTTACCCGAGTTCCTAGAAGAAATGTCCTTGGAACAGACAGTAAGTAGGATGGCTTGTATCCCAAGGGTACTTTCCTCGCAGCATCACCATAGCTGAAAATGAGTCCTCACCAGAAAAGTGCCTTCTGCTGGGCTCCTCCGATGCCATCCACGTAGAGCTCCCTCCCGCACTGCTGCTGACAGCCGCTGGAGTGGGAGAGGCTTTTTCGGTCCCCAGAGTGAGCTGTTGTATGAGAGAGATTGTCTGCAGACGAGGACAAAAATAGCTTTACGACTACAGCCCTGAATCTGGGAGTCAGGAAATTCAAAATGAGAATTTCTCCTAGGCTTATCCACTGGCTTTTATGTGACTTAGATTATATCGCTCTCCCCAGTTTATACAAGAGTCATCTTACTGTAAAATAGGGGTAAAGTATTTATTGGCCATCTTTGATGCTTTCTGGAATATGTGGAGATAAAGTTGTTTAAGTGTCTAGCATTACCATTATCTACCATTTTGGTCTAGAAATCCTGAAAGACTAAGTGCTGCCTGGCCTTTCAGCCTCCGTGGGGAGGCCCTTTCCGTTTCTGCCATGACGCTCAGTTATTTGCAACCCACCAGATCAGATACAAACTCTCAGCCACCAAACCCGTAGGATTAATGTGTTGTGGAGGGACGTTCCTGCATGGGATCCCTCAGTGTGAAACTAAATCCCCAGTTAGGGAGGAGGATGTTGCTTTTCTTCTCTGGCTTCTCTCACTACTGCTGCATTCATCAGGGAGCAAATACTGCCTTTTTCATCCCTTTTTAGCATCACATATGTGGTCATTTTTGTTACACACTTGCATAAACTTTCCTGCTTGTCAGCCTGGGATATTAATTAAAGACAGGCATAGATGTCAACAGAGCCATCAGAATGGTGTTGCGAATACCGATGGTGCTGAGCCGGTTGCAGAACTGCAGTTGCATCTGATTTCCAGCCCGATCCCAGCTGGCTTCTCTTTCTTCTTTCTGCAGGCCTAAAAACGGTGGGAAATACTGCGTGGGTCGTCGCATGAAGTTTAAATCCTGCAACACCGAACCGTGCTCAAAGCTGAAGAAGGATTTCCGGGACGAGCAGTGCGCCGACTTCGACGGGAAGCACTTCAACATCAACGGGCTGCCCACGAATGTGCGCTGGGTGCCCAAATACAGCGGCAGTAAGTGACGGGGGGGGATGCAGATCCTGCCTCACCGCCTCGGGGTGATGGCGTTCGGATAACGTGCTGCTGGTTTTCCTCCCGCCCACTGCCAGTCCTGATGAAGGATCGGTGCAAGCTGTTCTGCCGAGTGGCGGGGAATACGGCGTATTACCAGCTGCGGGATCGCGTGATCGACGGGACGCCCTGCGGCCCCGACACCAATGACATCTGCGTGCAGGGCCTTTGCCGGGTAAGAATTTTCCCTTCTCTTTAGTGAGGGTGATTGCAGTTTTGTGTGGCAGGAAGGTGCTTCTGCACCTTGTCCCGGCCGTTTGCTGGCATGCCTGCTTCACTCGGGGGCTGCCGGCAGTGTCCGCAGGCTCCACGGTCCCCGGCGGGAGCTTGTGGCAACCTCCAGGCTTGCGGAAGATGTGTGCGTGGAGGGTGGCTGTGCGTCTGCCCTGAGTTACTGAGGGCTGTGGAGGTCTGAGCCTGAGTCCAAGCGATGCTTTCTTCTGTGCTCTGCCCTGGTTCTTGCCGGTCAGACCCCGGAGCGCTTTACGTCTCCGTTCACCATCATTTTTCAGACTTTTCTCTGTGGGAACGATTGCTGCAAGAAGTTTTCTGTAGCAAAGGCATCGCCTGGTGCAAACAGAAATTCTGATTCTCACTTTGTAAAGAAGCCTTTTGTTTGAAAATGGTGTGGGATGGCCACACTGTAAATCAGCGGAAAAATGTGGGGAAGCAAAACAATTTGTCTCATGGCAGCCTTTTGCATGCATAGCTTTTGTGTGCCTTAATTGGGAGGTTTGTAACTGCTGTTCTAGTCTGTATTTGCTCAATCTATTTTTTCCACTTTTTCTCTTAAAGCAAGCTGGATGCGATCATGTGCTGAATTCAAAAGCAAGAAGAGATAAATGTGGTGTTTGTGGTGGGGATAATTCTTCGTGCAGAACTGTTGCGGGCACATTTAACACGGTGCATTATGGTAAGAATCTGTTGCTAAAAACTTTATAGTGAAAAATGCGAATCTATAAAAGCCATTACCACACTTAATCTACAAAAACACTGATGTAAAATGCAAAGTCCTTCTAGCTATAGCATATTCCATTTTATAACTATTTATGCTATCCCTAAATGAAAAGTATCGGCTTGTGTAATGTGAGGTAATTTTGCTCATTTCCCTTCCCCCGGTACAAAGCAAATGGAATGTCTTTGTAATAGCCTTGACTTTCTGTGAAATCTTTTGTAGGCTATAACGTTGTGGTCCGCATCCCAGCTGGTGCAACAAATATTGACGTGCGCCAGCACAGTTACTCAGGGAAACCAGAGGATGACAACTACCTGGGTGAGTTGCAGTCCTTGCTTCCATCCAGAACTCTGCCTTAGTGTCTGGTTGTGGTGATGTATCTGCTGGCCGCTCTCTGCTAGGGAGGATGAAGGATTCGTTTCAGGGAGATGTTTTCTTACCAAAAATTTACCTCGTATGTCTACCAAACATTCAGCTGTGTCTTGCTCCTCCTTTTTGTTCATGCCATCCTTGATGCAATGTTTGGGAGGCTGTTAGATTGTAAGAAATACCCCCTTGGAGTATCTGTGGGGCTGGGAAGGACTGTTGAGTGTGGGCTGCGGGTGGGAGCTGAGGCACCAAGCTGGGAACCAAAGAGGCTTCTGAGTTCTGCGAGAGTCTCCTCGCCACAACTTAACACGTCTCTGCTGTCACCATGCCTTGGTTGGAGAGTAAATATGCCATGCGCTGAAAGACGTGTGTACAAACAAATCCAAAGAGGAATAATTTTCTGTTCCCCTGAGAACAGTTATTCGGATTTCGCTTAGACTGAGCCCGTCTTGTCCCTGCCTGACAATGGTATGTAACTGTAAAGAAACGCCCTGTGCCAAAGATGTTGGTTTGATTTAAACCTAACAATAACTTGGCCTTTGGCTGTTGAACATTCATAGTCACTGTTTTCTCTAATCTGTGGGTATGTCTCCAGAGCCAGATGAAGATGCTTGCCATGCTGTGTCAGACCGGTCTGCTGCACGCACATACGCTTTTAGCTTGGCCATGTGTCTCTTCCACCATACTGATCCATAATCCACCCCACAGAGTTCTGTTCGGGTTCGACAGCAGAGATAACACAACTGCACGTTATAACTGATGTTACACCTGCCAGTCAAAGGCTGGTTTTTCCCTTAAGCCCTGTTTGTGTCCCTCAGAGTCTTTTCAGGCCACTGATGGAGCAGGGGCTCAGGCTGTGGCCCCTCACAGTCCCAGAGAGATGGCTGCTCTCCTGGCTCTGTTCCTTGTCTTCTGCACGCCCCGTGCCTGGCACTGCCGGATGCACTCCGGTAGCACGAGGTCCTGTATCTACATCCCTGAGCAGGGCACTTCATCCCGTTTCATCTCACCAAATCCCCGAGTTGTTGATTTTTTTTGAAAAAGATGGGCCTTAGCCTAAGTGCTCGCCTTAGCTGGATGTGTTAAAAGCAGGACTAGGCTGGTGGCTCCTAGCCCACTGAAGGTGAAGGAAATCACTTTAGAAACAATGAGGAGTCTATCGTGCACCAAAGTGAAAAGGTGCTGACAGCTTTGTCTGTTGCTCAGAGATGCCATCCATGTGGTGGGACCCTTCCTTCATTCAGGCAAAAAGCTGAGGGGGTCCTCGCTGTCCTCCCTCCCAGGCTGGGGTCATGCAGGGCTGTCTGTCCCTGCACATACGCGGCCGTCTGCTGACAGCCGCCTCACATCGGTTCTGCACATTCACAGCAATGAAATGTGATGGTGCAGCACAAATGCACATCGGTACCAGGAAAACCTTACTGAGGTGTGATAGTTTTCCATCCTGGGGGAGGAAGATAAGTTTCATTATTCATCTTTTTAGGGGAAACAGTCCTCCCTGTGTTGTGCCTATTCAAACTGGTTCACCCCAGAAGGAACCCCAAAGAACTTCTCAGCTCTTCTTGGAGGGCCTTTAATCTTCTTGGGAAGCAATGAAGTCAAGTCTTCTTTAATGTTGCTTTAATATTGCTGGGAAAGCATCTCTTCACATTAGGCCTGACTGGAAGCAAATGAGAAGTGTGCATGTGTCCACTTACTTTGCAGCTCACTGAGTGTGAAATCTTGGGCCCTCGGTACTGTGAACCTTGGAGTTGCTTAACAATTTAGGAGGAATTTGATGTTGTCATCAAGTCCAAGGCGTGTACCTACTGTTGTAGGAGATACAGTAAACGGGAGGGAATCCTTTAATGAGTTTTGCTACTGCCTCATGACATTAAAGCCTCCAAAGAGTGGAATTTGGTTGAGTATAGCATGTGTTTTGTGAGTTTTTCTCCATCGATGTCTGTTTGCTACCGAGCAGTGTTTTGCTTCATTATCTCTCCTCATTTGGTGTAAAACCTTCCCTTTGGTGTTTTGGTGTTAAGTTTAGATTTTTTCAGTACAGACGCTTTGTAGTAATGTAGCTGTGATGGGTGAAATGGTGGGGAAACTAACTTAGGAAATTAGCTACATAATCGCATTAGTGTGAAGTTGTGCAGCAGACTGCTGTTTTCAGGAAACTGTTCCTTTTATAAAGCATTTAGGATTTAAGCCTTCAGTGCTTTCACATACCTTAAGATTTGGAATAATAAAAAGTACGAGGGGAGGAGGGAGAGGGAGAGATACTCACCAAACTCCCTGTAATTATCTACTAGAAAATGATGTTTGGGCAATTAGAGTACATACATTTGCCCTAAGAACGCACCCGAAAACAACTGGGAAGCCACCCTGTCCACACAGCTAACAAAAAGGTTTGGGCAGGATTATTTCTGCGGTACACGAGGGGATGCAGACTGTGTGTGCTGCGTACAGCAGCCGGCCCGGCATGCCTTTTGGGTATCTCTCTGCCCTGGGTTATGGGTGAACTATTTAGAAACAACTTGAGGCATTCAGCCTTTATTTTAATGAGGCTATCCATTGGAAAAAGGAGAAGGCACAACGTCTGCAAGAGCTCTGCTGCTCTCTTTACATCCTTTTGGTTGGCGAGTGCCAGTGGGCTTTTCCTCCCACCCCAATGAAAAGGAGCACTGAGAGCGCATGACCCACGTTATTATGTACGTATGAGTTAATTCTGCGTCTTTAGTTCTTGTTTTTTGCACCTATGCAGCCTTATCTAACAGTCAAGGAGACTTTATATTAAATGGAGACTTTGTCGTCAGTATGTTTAAAAGGGAAATCAAAGTTGGGAATGCTGTGATCGAGTACAGCGGATCGGATAATACTATTGAAAGGATTAATTCTACAGATCGGATTGAGCAAGAAATAACACTTCAGGTGAAGTATACGTTGTGCGTGTGGGATAAGTCTGCCCAGCAGTACTAGACAGAAAACAGTGGGCAGCGATGTCTGTTGGTTTACTCTGCTTCATCTTTTTTCCTCTCAGGTTTTATCAGTGGGCAATTTGTACAATCCTGACGTTCGTTACACGTTTAATATCCCCATTGAGGACAAACCTCAGCAGTTTTACTGGAATGCATATGGCCCGTGGCAGCCCTGCAGCAAGCTCTGCCAAGGTGGGTGCTTGGGAAGGCTTGGTTTTGTCCTGGGTGCGTCTGGGACCTGATCAGTGCTGTCAAATCCCTCCCCGTTTGAATTTCTTTGAGATCCTCACGTTATGGGCATGATTGTTTCCCTGGGCTGTAGCAGCAGACAATGTTGTACAAGGTGTAGCACTGCTCTGCTGCTTCTGGGTTTCAGAGCAGGGCACCTTTGCGGCCCCTCTCAGCCAGGTCAGCCCTGCGACCGGGTTTGCGGGTGGGAAAGCTCAGCTGCAGAAACGGTTACGTGGCATTTCCTAAGGCTGCAAAAGGCGTCGGTGTCTGGTTTTGGGGCTGACATCCAGTCACTGCCGCCTGCCAGGGCTGACCCTGCGAAACTCGCAGAGCCCATCCTTGCCAGCGTGCTGCAGCTCTCTGCCTGCGTCCAGCTCGTCTGAGTTAAACCCCTTCTCTTCTTAGAGGGTCTTAACCCCCTCCCTGTTCCCAAAAGAGATTTAAAAGCATAATTAAACATCTCTTAAATGCTACTATAAAGGGAGTAAGAGACATAACTGATTTGATTGCTTTCCTGTATGACTCAAACAATGTGCCGTTCTTTTTCTGTGTAGGAGAACGAAAAAGGAAACCCGTGTGTACGAGAGAGTCGGATCAGCTCACGGTGTCAGACCAAAGATGTGACAGAATTCCCCAGCCTGACCCCATCACTGAGCCTTGTAGCACAGAATGTGAATTAAGGTGCACTCTACTTGCCTGTGTATACACATTATGTCGTGTATTTATTGTTTACTTCTCTTTCCTTTCGCCTCTAACCATAATTCCTTTTCTCACCAGCCTATATTAGATTTAAGAAAAGGATTAGCAGTTGCCTCTTTGTCAACCAAGAGGGACTGACATCCACCAGCCATGTTTCGAGAGGCACTTTTCTACATGTTCACGTTTCTCTTGTTGGATTAAATTAGTGCTAACTATCAAAAAAAAAAAAAAAAAATCACCTAAAGTTGAAAAATCTCCCTGGGCAATACAGTGCCTGAAATTTGCATCTGCCTGGATCAGAAATGCTCAGCACCATCCTACAAACAGGCTGCAAAGAGGGGAAAAAAACGTATGTTCAAAGCAAAAGAGTAACTAAGATGTGGATTTATCATCATTTGCTTAAAGCAAAGAATAGGCTTAAGTGTAGAGCGGGTTTGGGGCTGTCCCCAGACAACTCCTGGCCAGCTGGAATTGATGGAGCATGGACTAAATAATCACAACCCATTTTCCTTTAAAAAGGAAAAGCTTTCCTTTCTGGAGCTTAAATATGGTAGCATTAAACGGCTGCTGGTGAAGCAGTTCAGATGGCCGTGTTTCCCGAGGGGGAGCCCTGGCCCGGGGCTGCGGGTCGGGTTGTCGCGGTAACAGCTGTTGCCATTGCAACAGGTTGGAAACTTGAGAAGGACAAATGCAGGAGTTTGAAAAGCAGGCAGGGATGCCAGGACTCCTGCCATTCAGGAGCTATTGACTTCAAATCCCCTTGATCTTATTCTTCTTCTAGCTGTGCTGGAGTTTGCTCTCTCGGCTTAAGACTTGGACTCTGTGCTCCCCGTGACAGCCCGGGGGTCTCCAGGACCTGGAGTCTCTTCCTGACTCCAGGGTCTCCGACATCTCCCTGGATCAGGCCTGGTGCCCGGCATCTCTTGCCAGAGCTAGGGCTGGGGCTGGTGTAAAGCAGGGGTGGGTCCCTGAGGGCCACCAGCACCAGCCCTTGCTGCCCACCTAGAATCATGGAATCATAGGTTGGAAAAGACCTCTAAGAACACCAAGTCCAACCATCCACCCAACACCACCGTGCCTACTAAACCGTATCCTGAAGTGCCACGTCTACGTGTTTTTTGAACACCTCCAGGAATGGTGACTCCACCTGCACCCTGGACAGCCTATTCCAATGTCTGACCACTCTTTCAGTAAAGAAATTTTTCCTAATATCTAATATAAACCTCCCCTGACACAACTCTTGCAGTGAGGGGCCCAAAACTGAACGCAGTATTGGAGGTGCGGCCCCACCAGTGCCGAGTACAGGGAGGATGATTGTTTCCCTACTCCTGCTGGCCACACTACTCGTGATACAAGCCAGGATGCCGTTGGCCTTCTTGGCCACCTGGGCACACTGCTGGCTCATGTTCACCTGGCTGTTGACCAACACCCCAAGGTCTGTTTCCACCGGGAAAGTCGGAGAGCTGACACTTCTGCAGGCGTTCTGCCCAGCGGAGGGCCTCGTCACACCTTTCTAGCCTGTGCGGGTCATTTTCTGACACTGTATTTTTCAGCTTTTTGGTTTTAGAGGCCGAGGTGGCACTCCTGCAGGGGAAGGTGGGATGGAAAGCCTTTGCAGCGCTGCTCCTTTCTTGGCCACAGACCTTGCGCGGTCCTGCAGGGTCGCAGCGTGGCGTTGCTGCCTGCGAGAGGGACCTGGTGACAGTTCCTTCCCCTGCAGGGAGCAACGCCAGGGTTAACTGCTTCGTATTTTTGGAAGCAACGAAGCTTTGGGAAGTGCTGTAAACAGACAAAACTTCCAGTTCAAGAGCGTATATTCCCTGTTTATGTCAAACAACCCCGAGCACGTTATCTGCAGAATCCCAGAGCCCCACAGCTCTTTCCTCCTCTTCTGATCTTCCCCAAGGCAGGAGCCTTCCCGTGGGCTCGTGGGTTGTCACCATGCCAGGGCTGATGTTTGCTCTCCTCGTCTCAGGTGGCATGTCGCGAGGAAGAGCGAGTGCACGGCGCAGTGCGGAGTGGGGTACCGCACCCTGGAGATCTTCTGCTCCAAGTACAGCAGGCTGGAGGCGAAGATAGAGAAGGTGGACGACCGCTTCTGCAGCAGCCAGCCCAAGCCGAGCACGAGGGAGAAGTGCACTGGAGAATGTAACGTGGGAGGGTGGCGGTACTCGGCCTGGACCGAGGTAAGGGATGCTCAGCAGTACAGCGGATGCTGTCGCCTCGCATGGGGCCATCAGGCTGCTTAGGTTGCATACGGCATGTAAAAGTTGTCTGCAGTGATTCTGCTTCCATTGCTTTTTTCTGGAGGACACTGTAGCCCAAATCAGGCTGGTACTCCTGATTTTCCACTGCAGTGAATATATGCTTTTAAGCATCTCAAGGTCTGTCTTCATTACGCTAAGCTCTGCTGGCTCCCTTCTCCCACCAAAGCCAGCCACGCTGCCAGGACCATCATCAGAGGACTTGTGAGATTTGTTTCCTTTACACTTTTTAGCAGAATGCTTTTCCGTGGCCGAGAATATTCCTGAGTACAGACCTGGCACCAAGAAAATGACAAGCCTGGAGCTTTCCAGGGAGGGCATGGTGAAGTGGGGGGCTGGCTGGTTAGAGGGAATTCATTTCTCCTAAAATGAGAACACGCAACAGCCATTTAGGACAACTGAAAGGCAATACTTGTAAAAGTGATAATGGGGTTATAACCTGAAAAGAATTTGTAAAACTCATTGCCACAAGATTTTATTAAGCTTAGCAAGACTGGCTTATTAAAGAAGTATATAAAGTAACAGCCTGTTACCTAAGGTACAAATTGTTCTTCCAGAGCTTTTCTGCAGTCTCTTCACAGTCCTGACTGCAAAGAGGGAGAAGGCAATAAATGGGCTCTCAGGCTGTGGTAGAGTGGCAGAAAGTATTTACTCGGTGTCCTGCCTTCGCAGTGCTCCAAGAGCTGCGGCGGCGGCACGCGGCGGCGGCGAGCCATGTGCGTGAACACCTACAACGACGTCCTGGATGACAGCAAGTGCAGTCAGCAGGAGAAGCTGACGGTGCAGCGGTGCAGCGACTTCTTGTGCCCCCAGTGGAAAACCGGCGACTGGTCCGAGGTAGGTGCTGGTCACCAGCGCGGGCTGACCCTGCGGGCCCTCCACCCTGAGGGGCTGCTGCCTGCGAAGAGAGAACTGTGCTGAAGAGACACCTCTGCCCCTCGGGTTTTGGTTGTGCCCCGGGGCGTGGTGGCACCATGCCTTCTGCCGAAGCTCTCCCCAAGCTGTGCACAGGGAGGTTTGAGACGGGCAGCAAAGTCACTGGCCTCGTCACCACTGCTCATGTGCGCAGTTCCCTCCCTGCGAAGCCACAGGGGGTTAATTCCGCTCCAATCTTGCAGCAATTTCTCCCCAGTTTTTCCACGGTTCCTCTGCAGCTTTGTGAAGAAGAATACCTTCTGCCCACATTTTCCCTTGAGATTGTCCTCACGGGCCCTGGCAGCTGGTGGGCAGGATTTCACCCTGCTAATGTCTTGCTCAGCCTTCTCCCTGCTGTTGATTACCATTGCCTCTTCCACTGCTGCTGGTGTCCTTCGCAATGCATCAAAACCGTGTCTTGATAGGCTTTTCCCTGCAGCGGGACTTGGGATGCTGGAGAACAGTCTTCAAAAGCTGCGTGTCACCTGGGTGGCCAAATAGCTCTCCTTTCTGTGAATCACGTTCGTTTAGGAAATAAGAACAGCAGTTAAGTGGGAACAGGGAATGTTCTCTGCAAAATATCTGTCTTTTGGGTCGAGCTGCTGGCAGCTGAAGCCACGCAGCGGGGCGGTGGAAGAGGCCCTCGCAGCCTGCGGGAGCTGAGAACCGTAACGTACACCTTCAGATCTCAGCAAATTTTTTGCAAGCCTTTGGCACCCCGTTGCGCACAGGCAAAGCCCCGCAGGGCCGTGCTGTGGCTTTGCCCTACGTCTCACAGCTGCTGGAAGTCCAGAGCCTTCGTGGTCTCGCTTTGCCCGTGCTGAAGCGTCCCAGCCTGGCTGTGCTCTCCACGCTCCAGCCTCTGCTGTGGACCAGCCCCTGAGAGCAATCCTGTCTCGCTGCAAGGCAGTCACGTGTTTTCCAGCGCCCACAGTCGCTCGCTGAAGAGCTGCCTCTCAGCACCGGCTCCTGAGCAGCGGTTTGCAGGTTTATTTTTCAGCGCCGGGGCGGGTGCCGAGCTGGCAGCGCATCCCCGGCACCGCCTGAGCTTGCACTTTGCCCCTCGCAGTGCCTGGTCACCTGTGGGAAAGGGCACAAACACCGCCAGACCTGGTGCCAGTTTGGAGAAGATCGATTAAACGACAGGTTTTGCGATCCCGAAACGAAGCCGGAGTCGGTGCAGGCGTGCCAGCAGCAGGAGTGTGCTTCGTGGCAAGTGGGGCCGTGGGGCCAGGGACGGCGCGGGGCTGACGGGCGGGGTTTTGCAGATGGGCAGCAATAACAGTACCTGCCCTGTGTACTAAATTTAATCTCTGTCGTACTGAATTGGTCATGATTTTCAAAAAAAGGGTTTCCAAGGTTACGCTTCTAAATCCATATTTAGGCACGTAAATACATGGCCAAATTTTCACAGAAAAACTGCTCCCGTTGAAAAGCTGTTGTTCTTTTTAATGTTTTCCAGTTTCTGGGTTGGTGAGGCTTTTTTTCTGTTAAAATACAAGTTGCTTATTTCTCGTGGAGAGTTCTGGCATCTCCTTTTCCACAAAGCTGTTAGCTATTGGCTTAAAAACACAGCAACAAACCCAGACCAGTTGTTCCAGTCACACTTATTTCCCACCAGCAAAATTATTCATTAGCTGCTTGTGCTACCCCAGGACTGAACAACCAGTTTTAAAGAATGGTGCGATGCAGGTTCTACCAGACTGTGATTTACTGTGTGCAGCAAAGTAAATCATTTAAATGCTCACACCTTCATTCCCGGGGAAGCAAGTGAAGCGTGCAAGGCTCTGGTGGGCACAGCGAATTAAAACTTTGACCTAATTTAAAGCTGAAATGCATGAATTGGAGAGAAACCAGGAGGGAAGCTGGGTTTTATTTTTGCTGCTCTTGCCTCGTGCCTAAACACAGGCTGGGCTGATTAATGCTTGCTAACCGAAGCAGCTACTCAGACCCAGCACTTCTTTCTCCCGTCTGTCCTCTCCCAGTGCACGATGACCTGTGGCCAAGGCTACCAGATGAGAGCGGTGAAGTGTGTCGTGGGCACCTATGTGTCAGTGGTGGATGATAACGAGTGTAATGCTGCAACCAGGCCGACAGATACTCAGGTAAATCCTGCTGTCCTGTCTCCATCTGTTGCCAGCGTGCGTGTGGAGGCATCCAGGCTGCAGCTTCAGGGGATGTCTTGCTGCAGCGAAGGCTTGTCCTGAATGCCAGCTCCTGCAGAGCAGTATCGTGGTCCTCTAAGAGCTCGTGAGCTGAAGAGGCAGGGTAGATGAATGCGGGAAGACAACCTGAGAGTGGAAAGGTGGACCTCCTTTGGCATGCATGGGTTCTGGGGTGCCTGGCTGCAGTCTGGCCTCGCTTGGCTGCAGGACCGTTGCTGTGTGGTACAAATGACAGCTAGAGGCCATCATTTCTTGCCTGCCGCACATGACGGTGTAGCGTATGTGCCAGCTACGATTCCAGATGCATCCCCCCTGGCCGGATAAATTGGGAAATGTTGCACGCCCTTTGCAAATTCGCTGAAGAGTCTTTCCATGCTGTGTTCGCTGGTACATGGAGGCAAAAGCGTAAATTCCTGCTTCAAGCAGAGGATGTGTCCGGAGTGCCTGAAGCAGTCGATTAAAACAGAACGTTACCACCTACCTGTCATCTAGGAGAGTCATAGTGCTGATGCCCTGCCCAGCTTCAGTCCTGCATGACTTCACAGAGTGTAAATAAGGCCACAACATTTAGCAAAGGGCTGTTTTTCCCATGTATGGAGACCGATTGCACTATAGTCGAGGGGTAACAAACCTACTTGTCATCAGCCATCATTTGGCCTGTACATCTCCAGTGTAAGTAAAACCATAGCGACGCGGAAATCATTTATGCCATTTCTCAAGAGCCGCTCTCTCCTTCGCAGTGATGATCAGTATTAATTTCCTTTTTGGCAATGACTACTCGTTGGCTCATGGAGTAAGGTCATGGCTATTCATCATTTCTGTCACCAGACCTCCCAGGAGGTCCAGGCAGGACCAGAGCCCTCCTGTTAGGCACCGTGCCAAGGCGGAGCGGAATGACATGCCTGTCCCCAAAACCTTGCATGCTTAGTGTGTGGTAAAGATCAGCATGTGGATGTAGGTGGTCTGGTGGGCTGCAGGGAATCAAAGGGCTGCAATCAGCTCAGCAGTGTAACCTTTATTAAGTGGGCTGCAAGTCTCACTCTGAAGAATGGAGCTTTGAAGGGAGATGAAGTTGCTGCTTTCAGATGTGTGTTCATACCAGAAGGCTCTTAATGAACTGTCATCTTTTGCCTCAAAAACATCTGGCTTTAATTCATGGAGATGGCACATGGTTATGGGCATCCCTATTGTAGAGTTCCTAAGAAGTCAAAAGTCCGCCAAGGTTCTGCATATGAAGCCCTTGGGTTACTGGTACCAAATTTTGCTGATTCACCAAGAGGATGCAAGGAGAAAGCCTGCCAACACACAAGCATGCAGGTCACAGATTTTCAAGGAATTGTATGTCATTGATAATTACATTGAAGAGGAGGTGCTTTAACTGAAACATCTGCAAATTCTTTATTTCTCCCTTTTCCCTCGTGTATTTCATGCACAGGACTGTGAAATAGCAGCATGTCCTCCCCATCCAAATAGTCCTGAAGCCAAGAGATCCGTATCAGGCGTTCACAGGACGCAGTGGAGATTTGGATCCTGGACACCGGTAAGCGTGTGTTGTAATACTTTCAGGATTATTTTACAGTAGATGATGCGATATTTTAAGTGCATTTGACCAACTTTTCATTCTAAAGCCCTTGGAATATATATCAGGAAACTTTCTAGTGGCGTGCTTGTTGCTCTTCCCTAGTGCTCCGCAACCTGCGGGAAGGGTACCCGGATGAGGTACGTCAGCTGCCGGGATGACCAGGGCTCGGTGGCCGACGAGTCAGCTTGTTTCCACCTCCCGAAGCCATCAGCCACGGAAATGTGCACCGTGACGCCGTGCGGGCAGTGGAAGGCCTTGGAGTGGAGCTCCGTAAGCATCGCGCTGTCTCTTGCAGGAGAGCCTTATAGACCTTGTTGCTGGAAACGTGTATCATTAATCTGTCACGCTTACCCTTTTGCAAGTGGGGAGATTAAGGTTTTCTGCTGTTCATTATTAGTAATAGCTGTCTGCCTGATTTTCAAAGCTGGAAATGTGACTGTGTCTCCTTTTCCCACTGTAATGCAGTGCTCGGTGACTTGCGGTCAAGGTAAGGCAACGCGACAAGTGATCTGCATCAATTACAGTGACCAGCTGGTGGACAGGAGTGAGTGCGATCCAGATGACCTCCCTGCCACCGAGCAAGACTGCTCCATGTCTCCTTGTCATCCAAACAGCCATGACTACGGCAGGCCCATCCACCCTTTCCTCTATCCGGATCATCGCCTGAAACTGCACCCCGGAGGCAGCCCGAACCGAAACCGTGCACATATACCGGGAGGCAATCAGTGGAGGATTGGCCCCTGGGGTGCTGTAAGTGCCCTCATTTTCTTATTGCTGGGGTTTTTTTGGTCTCCTGGGCTAATCCAGGCTTTTGTTCATGTCACCGTGCAGGGAAAAGAGAGACCCTTCTCCCCTCATTCTGCTCTCTGCTCACACGAGCAAGTGCTGCAGCAGGGTGCAGGCATCCCTTCGCAGCCTCTCACACCTCGTCTCTCCAAGGCTCTCTAGCCAGAGAGCCGACGGCATCATTTTCCACGAGGCAAAGGCCAACCTCTGCTTCTTGGCCGTCTCCTGGGACGCTTACAGCTGTGGAGAGCTGTTGCCAAAGCACAGCAGAGCCTTAATGCCAGCCCCTCTCACCCCAGCCAGTTTGCAGCACTTTATCACCGAAGTCCCTAAAGGGAATTAAGCACAAATACGATGTCAAAGACTGCATTAAAGGCAGCAGAGATTACTCACCTGCTTAAAACTAGACTCATGTTTGTTTTCTTTGCTTAGTCAGCACCCAAGTACATTGCACTGCTATTAGTAATAGCCGGGGTTTGAAGTTAATAATGCTTGTTAGTTGTATTAAATTTCTAGTGGTGCACTCCCACGGTGCAAGGCACTGGGAATGCAAAATTATTCCTGGACTCAAAGAAGCCATGGGCAATTGTGTCTTCCAGTGCTCTAGCACGTGTGCGGGGGGGTTCCAGCGGCGGGTCGTGGTGTGCCAGGATGAAAATGGATACACCGCAAATAACTGCGATGAGAAAAGCAAGCCCATGGAGCAGAGATCGTGCGAATCTGGCCCCTGCCCTCAGTGGGCTTATGGCAACTGGGGAGAGGTGAGTGCACCATTCATCCCGGGCTCCCTGCACAGGGGAAGGCTTTCATTAGCGGGTGGCTGAAAAATGGGAGAAGAGAGGGATATTGCAGTGGCATTTATTAGAAAGATTGGAGCATGAAAGGCAGCCGCTGATAAATGAGTGAACCCTAGCAACTGCTTGGTGCTGTTTTCCTTTCCATTTGTCACGGGAAAGTTTTCTTCCCAGGTGAAAGCAAATCCTAGAAAAATTGAGATTTTTCTTTTTTAAGAGAAGTCTAGTTTAACTGGAGGGCTTTTTTCTTTAATAAAAGCACTGCTCCCTTCTGAAAATTCATCTGAGATGAACAATTAGAAATGCTAACCTCCAGTATCACGTTGGGTCTAGCAGCATCGCTGTGGAGCAGCATGAAGAGCTGTGGGAGGGACAAGCTGAAGCAGCTGATGCCCCATCTGAGACTCATGCAGTGTTTGGGGGGGACTTGGCCAGAGTGGGCTGATTGGGAACAGAAACAACCATCAGGTCTTGAGAGGTGCTAGTGCTTCGGGCACTCTGCAGTATTTTTGCTGCCCGGATGGTGATTGCTCTGTCCTCTGCTGACTTCCAGTGCACGAAGCCATGCGGGGCAGGGACAAGAACACGGCTGGTGGTGTGCCAACGCCCGAATGGAGAAAGGTTTACGGATCTGAGCTGTGAAATCCTTGACAAGCCACCAGACAGAGAGCAGTGCAATGTGCAGGACTGTCCTAGAGATGCTGCCTGGAGCGCTGGTCCTTGGAGCTCGGTACGACCATAAACTCTTTCTCTTTGTGAACCATTTTGTGGATATCCCGTAACAACAGATTTAATGTGCTTCAAACCAAGGTGCTAATGCTTCGTGTCTTAAAACTGCACTTAAAGAGGATTATTGACAATATATTCAGAATAACAGCTTTTCAGGAAAGGCTTACATTAGGGGAGCTCGAGTCCTTTAATTTAAAAGGCACTTTCTGCTAAGTGGCCACCTTTGTCCGTTTTATTACACTGTGCGAGCGCTGTGCATTATGAGTCTTGGTTCTGACTGAGTTCTTTGCATATGGATTTAAACCTGGCATTTAAGCAGTACATTTCCGTTGAAGTTAAATTGTTCTGATATTTAACAGTAACACCGCACTGTGCACCTACTGGTTTGCCTGTTGCGTGTTCTCTGCCAAAAGCAAGATGACGGGGAAAATGTGTACTAGATTGCATCAACTCCCAAGCGTGTACAAGTGTGTACAGGGGTGTGTGCATGTCCCTACCCGCTCCCGCACACAGCTGTACAGAAACACGCGTGCATTCACACCCGTGCTCTATTTCTTTTCCCTTGTATATATGATACTGTGCGTGATGTCCTGTGCGAAGGCACCTGTAGGCTTTTCTCATACATCTCTGGTTTGGGAGAGTTATTGTCTGGCCTGATCTCCAGCTGCTGCTCTAGATATCAAGTCGGCAAAGGATCAGCAAGGTGGTGGAAGGCTTAAAACCCTGGCGGTTTTCTAATAACAAAACAGAGTTTGGAGCAGAGGTGTCTTACGCTGCTCCTTTGCCACTGGAGGAGTCTGCTACAGAGATGCTCTGGCAGAGCAGCCCTGAGCCGGGGGGCTGGGATGCTGCTTTGAGTCCCACGGCTTTGAAATTCTCCCTGCCCAGAGCAGCAGCTTCTGCTCGGCTGGAGCCCCAGTGTGCCAAGGCAAGTGCCGCCTGGCATACTGGAAACCACGAGCCTGCCGGGTTTGGAGTGGCCTCCAAACAAATGTTGACATTTATTGTGTATTTCATTACAAAAGCATTTGAAGATTTAAAAAAAAAAAAAAAAATTAATCTGACTCAAAAGCACTTTATGGGAAAAAAAAAGAGGCCCGTTTGTAATGTATTGGACTTCCTTAATTGCCATGGTTTGAAAAGTCATCTGGCTAAAACGTAATCGCACTCTCATTTCTGCGGGTGCTTTCAGGAACGCGGATGCCTTCAGTGATGCTCCTCAATATTTTTATCATACCTCAGTGAGTTATGCAATAGACATAAGACTGCTGAACTGGTGTTTATATGGTGCTCCACCAGTACAAGGGACAGTGATATGAAATATTTCATTTGAGGTGCTAATGTATCACTTGTATGCTGATATAGTTGGTGCTAAAAATGAGTGTGGTGAGCTAAGCAGAGCTGGCAACCCGCGTGGTGGCTTCCCGGCAGAGTGACCGGCTGGGAGTTGCTGCCAACCTTTACCTGTGCCGGACCATTTGCAAGAACCGAAGGTGTGGGCAGAGTTGTGTTACGTTTCGGTGTCGCTCAGCGTTCAGCCTCTCCACAGCTGTTCAGGGCTGCGTCTGCTCCTCTGTGCTGGAAATGCAGGGTGCAGTCCTGTATTTTGGTTTTGGGTTGGGTTTTTTTCACCCAGAAAAGATTTCCTTGACGTCTACCAAGTCATATTAACTTGGGTGGGTTGTCCCTTGCTCTGTCTCCTGGGAGCGGGTGGGATATTGGGCAAACGGGCGGAGGGCAGGGGCATTCCGTCCTGCCTGCAGCGTCTCCCTGCTCCATGCAGAGGCTGCAGAGCTGAGCCCCAGCCGGTGCCGCAAAGTGACTTGATTTTTCAGGTCTTATTCCCGAGGTGTCCTTTGGCTCTGATGCAGGGGACCCCAGAGCTGTTTGAAGACTGAAATGTATCTGTGGGGTCAAAAGGGCTTCATGTCCCTCCTGCAAAATGCTCCCCGTACATGTCTACCTCGTGCTACTACTGTAGGTAGTAACACCCAAATTTTTGTTTCTTTAGTGGGGTGTCACCTGGCTTTGGTTTAGCTCTGTCATCAGTTGCAAACGTCACTCTATAGCTGTACATACTTCATCTGTTGGGATGGAGTGTCGCTACCATATTTTTTTGGTCACTTTTGAAACAAGAGTATAGTATTAGCTGAAACTTTTCAGCAGTGTGGATTTATGTATTTATGTAAAAGTGTATTTATTTTTCCAATATTGTTATTTAATTTTATATAAATATTGCATACATTTACGATGTTTAATGTTAATGTTGAACAGTGAAAATTAAAGACAAGTAGAATGTAATCATAAATGAATTTGTATAATGATTTCTTGAGTCTTTTGCTAAATTCAGATCATATACTTAGTTTGGGTAACTTTTACTAAACTTTCTGAAATGGTACTGCAATGTTCCGTCTTTTGACTCGCTTTTATTTTACTTGCTTTGTTCTCCGACAGAAACTGTCATTCTTGATAATTAAACAAACACAGTTAAAAGTGTATGAATTACGAAGTTTGGATAACTGATTTCTTGCAAGCATCTGATTGGCTTAGCTTCACTCAAATTTCAGTGAAATTGGTACTATAAAATACATACAAATAAAAGCAGAGGGAGTCTGAAGAGTCCAACCCTCAGTCCTCAGGCGGAATTCCACTGCGATTTTATACAGTAAACAAGTGATTTTATCTGGCTGGTTAAATCCAGGTTTTAAAGAGATAATTAAATGAATAAACACATTCTGTATGTAAGTGATAATTTTATAACAGGAGACTGGTGAGATGCCTTGTCATTATGACGTGTGTTCAAAGAGCACTCAGAGGTGACACTTTTATTTCCTTGTTGATTTAAGAATATGTATTTAAACACTGCAGAATTGTACACCATGTGATAGACTTGACCTTTCTATTAAAATAATGCTTTAGAAAACACGCAGAGACTGTCACCAGGATACAGAGAGTGGTTTTTCTCATCTGAATGCCTTATGGTGTAAATGCAGATCTCCATACGCGCTCTCAAATACCGAGAGGAAATCTCGCCATGTTCTCCAGAACAAGGGAGATGCTCACAGAGAGCATTATCCGTTGCGTCACCTAAAACCGGAGGCTGAACTCGCTGCTCTCAGAGCAGATCTGCTCCTGGCAATAATCTCCATGAAATTTTGGTGCTGTAGAGTTTACCATAATATACAGCTGTATCCTGAATTTAGGAATAATGCTGAATTCACTCATCATGGACTTCTCATTCTTTCCAAGTTAGGAAACAGGCACAGCTAAAGTAAAACAATTCTATCGCACAGCACCGTGTCCTGGTTCAGTTGGGTGAGTCAGTTGGGCTTCATGGCACTGGGACAGCAATCATTTGGATTTGACCTGTGGAAAATGGGTGGGTGGGTTTTTGGATATGTTTTTGTTTGTTTTTTTTTTCCCTAGAAGTTGTTATAATTTTAAAAGTAATCTTCTTTGTCAAGTACTTGTCGCTCTTCCAATGCAGTGGCTGTGCAGCTCTTCGTGCCTGCAAACGAGCAGCGTGTGCTTCCCAGCTCTTAATCGAACAGGCAGAAGTGCTGGTCTCTTAGTCTTTGAGGGCCTTCTCATCTAGCAATGAAGAATGGGAAGCTTGGCATAAAACAATTAGAATATTAGCTGGCTAAGCTCCAAACTCTGTTATTGTCGATGTGAATTCAGGTTTGGGTTAGGACAACGATGCCGCATCCCGTTAGCCAGAGCTGGAGGCTGGTGGCTTTGCAGGGCTCTTTGGCTGTGCGCGGAGATGCACGAAGTGGCGAAGGGGTTCTGGACTCGGTGGGGAGCGGGAGGGCTGCCTGGCCAACATCCATGTCGGGGAGCTGGTGCTCAGGAATTTAAAGCTAAAGATTGGTGTCAATGGAAATTTCAGGTTATCTGTATTTAATTCTGTCAAAGCCCCAACACGTCGTTTACAAAATGCCTGCCCCGTGAAGCTGGCTGAAAATAGGCTCTTCTACAGGAATATTCTCCATGCCGTTGTTCCAATAATATTCTTAGCAGGCAGGATGTCAGCTCTTGCTAAGGCAGAAGTGATGACCAGGGGCAGATTTTGTTGCAAGTGTATGTAACTCTGCTGTTCTCTCCCTCAATTCTGCAGAAAATGAATTTGCTGTGACAGTAGCATCACTGAACTGCTCTATGATTCTTTACACGTGTTTTTGCAATAACAAAGCCATCCTTGAAAACGAAGTGATAGGCATGCGGAACTCTCCGGACACTCAGTGATTCATGTTGCTTCTTCTGTGCTTCATTCATAGGATGTTGGGTCAGGCTCTGAGACTGCGGCAGCGAGTCTATATTTCTCTGTAGTGCCAGGTATTATCAGAAAACTAATAAAAGCGATCCTACCCTGAGAGCCTGTGAGGGAAGGACAAATGTTGCTGCAGCAGAGGAAGGCTGGAGGTATGGTCCCAGCACCCGTAACCCAGGCAGAGGGACGCACTGGGTGACTGGCATGTCCTTAGAAAGACAGGTCCAGACCCAAATGAGAATTTGGTAGCCTATGGATATTTCTGGCCATCTGTTTGAAGCTGTCTCCGTCTCGGAGCTGTTTACTGCATGCTTAGGCTGGCCCACCATGGCTGCTGTCCCTCTTGGGCTCCTGGCTGTCTCCCCTCAAGGATCAGGGACTGCTGGTTTGGTGTGCTGATGAAAGGCAAGAAGTTATCTGCTTTGGTTCCCCAGTCAGAAAAAGGCCATTGAGAGTGCAGTCCTCTTTGCTTTTGTGTAAAAAAGCAAAGACCTATTCCAGCCCTTTCCTGTACTCCCTGCTGTGCGCCACCCATCCAGAGCATCCCACCACCGATGCCCAGCTTCTGCCACCCTCCAAAGCAGCACGTCCCTGGGTGACAGCTGGCATTTCCACTACTTGCTGTCTCATGCCCTTCCCGGAGGTCATCCCAGAGGGTAAACGCAGTTGGGGTTTTTGTTTGTAGAGCTTCAGCCCATTGCTTGTCCGGGGCAGGGGTAGTGGATGCT